GATTTTATAATTTCTTCATGATAATTTAAATTTCTTTAATTCAATTCTATTCCATATATAATCGCGATAAAATAATAAAATTGTTGAACTTTTAGCTTCAACAAAAAAAACCTTTATTTCGTTTGAAAATTTACAATTTTAAAATTTTTTGGATAACTTTTTCTGTATTTGGCCTATTCTGCATTAGGTTTCCAAGTTTTAAACTAAATTCCTCAGTACAAAACTTTAAATTCCTGGTCTCATTTTTTTCTTAGTTCAATAACACAATTATGCTAGGTGCATGACATGACGGCAGAGGGGGGCGAAATCGAACGGAATGACATCACTCCGACACCGACCCACTTACTTGGCCAAACCGCAGTAATCCGGGGTCCACGAATTTGGCAAGCAATGGTGGACAGAGTGAGCCAACTCCATTTTAGTCCAAGAGATACACTCACCTGGGCATTTTCCGACATGGACTCGTCGTAGCGCGCCTTGTTAAATGCCGGAGCATTGTCGTTGATGTCCTCGATGGTCACGTTGAAGGTGCAGACGTCGTCCAACGGGGGCAGCCCATTATCCGTGGCCTGAACAGTGACGAAGACGAACTTCTCGTGGATCGGCTCATCGCGGTCGAAGGTGTGGGAGGTGGTGATCACGCCCGAGCTGGGGTTGATGAAGAACTTGGGCCGCTCGTACGGCGACTGGACGAGACTGTAGCGAATGACCTGGTCGGGATCGGGGTCGGCAGCCTCCACGGTGAGCACGTAGGTGTTCTCCGGCTGCTCTTCCTTGACCTTCGGAGCGTATCCGGCACAGTTCTTGAAGGCGGGCTTTCGGTTGTCGCGGAAGGAGGTCTTGTCCGGCGGCGAGAGAATCGCGAGGGCGGGTGACAAGACACTGAGCGCCACGAGGACGGCCAGGAGCGGTCTCGCGGGGATTAGTCGCCGGCCGAGGTCGCGGCATTTCCGCTTGTGCTGCTGGTGCGTCTGTTGCTGAGCGGGATTGAGGACGCCGGCCTGTTGGGTCACCGACATGATGATGCAGTGGCTACTGGACAATCGCTTGACACTGGTGGACATGCTCCTTAGCGGCGATCCGCCATCTCTGACACTTTTTTTCAGCCGGACCACTACTTTAGAGCACTTCTTTGTGAATCACCCAGTATTATTCTGTCCACTCACTCACACTTTGGCACACCTTTTACTTTTACGTGCTCTGTTTGTATTGCCACTTCTATTTCTATTTGCACTTTTCTTGTTTCTCTCAGTGTGCCGTTTGTTTGGACTGCATTTTCATGGCAACCGCTCAATTATCAATTATCAATTCAATTCAATCGAAATCGAACTCGTACAGTTCGCCCCGTGATAATAGACCGACTTATTCCGATTTCGGTGCAGCTGCTCTGCCTGATATTTCGTTCACTTTTATCTTTCACTCATCCGCTTTAACACTCTCTTTCTCCCTCGCCCTCTCTCTTTCGCTCCGCAAACAGGTAAGACCAGGTAAAAAAGTGGTTACACGCACACCACTGAGCGCGCGCATTTGTGTGTGTGCTTCGGTCCTAGCGTTGGTATGTGTGTTACCAACTCTTGGTTAAAAAAGGCACTTTTCGTTGGTATTTCGTTATGATTTGTACACTTTGGCGAATTAAATTCAGTAATTAGATCGTTAAACGTATTTTTGCCCACTTTTGTCGCTTAATTCGTGAGAATCTGCGAAGCTGCAAGAGCGAAACGGTTTTGAAACTCCGATCGACGCGCGAGACAACCGCTCAATTCAAAATCAAGAAAAAAATTGGTCAGAGAGCGGCAGAGATGGCAAGTCCTCGATACAAAAATCGACGTCATCGATGTTTTTAAAATATAGGTTCTATCGATGTTTGGCAGGGTTCATCGATGTTTTACCAGCTCTAATGCATTTTCGCTGTGGTGTAAGGCCTCGCTAGCTGCGGAGTAAGTCCCCGCTAACATTCCTTGAGCACACTCTGTTAATGGCAGTGTTGGCAACTAAGTGTTGCCAACAGTGTTGGGAACTAAATAGGGTATAAGTATTTGAGAGAAAAAACGCCTAGGTGGGGACAAGGTACACAACAGTTTAATTATCTAGGTTAAGTTAAACGCCATTACTGCATATATTTTTGGGTATCTGTCCCAATAACAATATAAAATAAATCGGAGATACAATAATTGTGTTATACTATTTGTTATACGCACTGGCAAATATCCCTTATAAAGAATAAAGTTGAAATATTTTGTTCAAGTTGCAGTATAATTTATATTATTATTACTTATTACTTATATAAACAAAAACAAATAAAAATGTAACTTATTAACCTATTTAGCAAACTATATATAAATTACTTCAGTACCTAAATAACTCTAGCTCACCACTTTTCTAAGGTACATATAACATAAATACTTATGTAAAGAAAAGTATCACAGTTGGTAAGATACGTAGACACGTATCAGGAACAAGGTACTCCCCAAAACTTTTAACACTATACCGCGGACCACTGGTTGACAGCTCTCTTAAAAACTGAGGATCATATTTTATTAAATATGTTTTTTATGTTTTACTTTTGTGAGCTGTGCTGTACTTAAAACTCATTTATTCAAGTTAGCGACTTCTGCTCCACAAAGTATTTGTTAAGATGTTCAAAGTCAATTTAATTGTTAAATTAATCAGCACTAAAAATTTAAGGCGGAGATAATTTTGTTTGCTTATTAAATAAAATCCTTTAAGTTTTCTATGAACAAAGGGAACGGCAAAATTATTTTTTGCGCTATAATGGCATTATCATATCGGTTTGATATTAAAATAAGTAAGACGTTTAGGTAAAGTTTAGGTAAATAAGTTATTTTAAATTGTTTTATTTTTGATTATTATTACTATTACGAATTCAAAGGGGCCCGCCATCGTTTTGCCATTCTTGTGTCGGTTTTTGTAGCAGTGGAGACCGGTCATTAAAAATAATCGTGAAAAATAGCAGGTACAGGTACACAAGTAACGTCCATCACTAGCGCAGAGTGAAAAAAACACTGAATCGAATCGTCATCGTCTTGGCCCATTAATTGCGGAGAAAAAAGATAGCAACTCGTTGCAGAGCCGTAGAAAAGTGTTGAGAAAGAGTTCCAGCAACACCACAACGCCCAAGCACACCACAGCGCGATCCCGGCCAGTACCAGAACCCAGGGAACCGGAAATCAGACCAAACCAAACAACCGCCCCTGCCCCGAATTCGTGAATCACCCAGTGGAACTATGGAGCAGACCCCGATCACCGATGAGGAGAAGGTGCGCATCGTGGCGGACTTCATCCTGCACGCGCCGCCCGGCGAGTTCAACGAGGTGTTCAACGATGTGCGCGAGCTCCTGAAGAACGATACCCTGCTGAAGGATGGGGCCAGCCACGCCTTTGCCCAGTACAACAAGGACCAGCTGACCCCGGTCCGCATCGAGGGCACCGACCACAACGCCATCATATCGGAGCACAACGATCTGGGTGAGTGGAGTCAACGAGCTTATGCCCATAAACGGACAAAGCCCCGCCATGAGTCACATTCCAAATGTTTGGCATTTTGGCTGATATCTCTAGCCTTCACTGATAAGCGATTACATTCCAGGCAACGGTCGCTTCTACGATCCGCGCACTAAGCAAGCCTTCAAATACGACCACCTACGGAAAGAGGCCTCCGACTACCAGGACGTGGAGGCGGATGCTAGCGCGGAACCATGGAGGGCCGCCCTGGATCTGGAGACGCTCGCCTACACTGCCAGTCACTATAGACACGGGGTATGCCCAGCTGAGGAGTAGATCTCCTGCATGTTATAACCCTGCAAATTCTCTCGATAGGTCAGCTCAGTCTTCGGAAAGGCGCAGGGCAACCAGATCACCCTGACCATTTGCATCGAGGACCACCAGTTTCAGCCGAAGAACTACTGGAACGGCCGATGGCGCTCCCAGTGGCATGTCAGCTTCCAGGCGGGCAACGGATCCGCCGAACTGAAGGGCGTGCTAAAGGTGCAGGTGCACTACTACGAGGACGGCAACGTACAGCTGGTGTCCTCGAAGGAGTGCCGCGAGAGCGTGGTGGTCAGCAACGAGCAGCAGCTGGCCAAGGAGGTAATCCGTCTGATTGAGGAGGCCGAGAACGAGTACCAGCTGGCCATTTCGGAGAACTACCAGACGATGTCGGACACGACTTTCAAGGCCATGCGCCGGCAGCTGCCCATCACCAGGACCAAGATCGACTGGAGCAAAATCGTCTCGTACAGCATTGGCAAGGAGCTGAAGACGCAATAAGACCAGGAGGTGCAAGCGGAAGAGGAGCGGACACAGTCGACAAAGCGGCCCAACAGTCTTCCACTTGCCATGGCCAAGCGAGCATAGGAACCGATCATCAGCATTAACACCACAACATCCAAACAGAAGCAGCAGGAATACGAATACGAGGGCGGGCAGGCGCCAGCCCGCCAAATAAAATGTCTGTAATTGGCTATATACATACGAACATATACCTACATATATACATATATAGACAGCGTGTATTTATACTGTGTTATATAACGACGAAAGTGCATATACATAACTATAACGTCTACGATCGGAGATAATTTGATTGCAAGCATTTGGATGACTTTAGCCTGACGGTGAACGATGATGCACTGCTGCCTCGTCTGAGTCACGATCGCCACCAATTGTCGCCTTTATCGTTTAAGAAAGAGCATTAAACGCGGATTTTATCATGTCCTTTGACCTATGTATTATTCTAATTTTAAACGAATCAAACACGAGATCTGCGCTCTAGATGGGCCAGCTAGTTCTTCGGAATTAGGAACACCAAACAGCCGACTCTCGACTATTTTAAGCGCTATTATTAGAGCACCCATTCAAGTTTTCTGCTTTCCCGATTGTTCACCACCACCACCACCACCTACAGCATGAGCATGAATATTAACTAAGCTAAACCACTGATCCTTTTGCCAGCTCTATATTGACAAACAATAACTGAAGACTTTGATTTTATAAAAACAATAAATTTGTAATTAAAATAACATAACTATAAAACATTTAAGATTGCTTGAATTAGTCAAATTTAATGAGAATAAACTAATTGAATCGGAATTCTTGGTTACTTTGAATGCTTTTCCGTTTGTTTGGCATTTAGTAGATTTGCTTCGGAAAGAATAACATCGGAATCCACTTGTTGGGCGGGCACTTTGCTCAGACTCTCGGGCAGATCGAAGGTTAGTTCCTCGGATTTCTTGAGCAGGAAGCGCTTTTCGGGATTAAGTTTGGTTTCCAGCTCCAGTCGGTCAATCAGCCAGCCTCTATCCGGCTGATGGGACGCCCAGAAGTATAGGGTTCCTGTGGATTGAATACATTAGTTACTATCTGTATTTGGATTAGGAGTCCATGGGTGTACCTTTATCTTTGCTGCCCCGCACGGAAACCTCGAAATGCGCCATCTCCGCATTGCAATTGTTGTTGGCATTAGACAGATCAATACCCGAATCCTTGATGGGCTCCCCCAGGAGACCCACAGCTCCTCGATGGTTTCGCAGTGCTTTTAGCGCCAGTTTGTAGTATTCGCAGGATCTCACCCGATCCTCCATCTTCCAGCGCATGTACATCACGGCGGATATGGAGGCCACAGCGCCGTAGACGCATATGTTTCCCAGTGTTCGGTTGGAGGGCATTCTCAGTCGCACCATTTTGCCAACGCTTTTTATTCAAACTATGCGTTGTCACTTGTGTAATATTCGTTATAGCCGGTGTCGAGTTAGAGATGACAGTCAGCCGATATTCCTTTTTGCTTTCAAATAACTGACACAAATAATCTTTAGTTTAGTTATTATTGTACTCAGTTAATCTTTAAATATTTATAATTAGCGCTATATGTGTTGGGCAATACCTTTTTTTATTAAAAAAATTCACTTGATTGTTGTTTATTTTGATATAACAGCTGACTGCTTAGTGTGACCGTACTTTTTAGCCAGGGCTGCAACGTCGCACTCACATTGTGCAGATTATACAACAAAACGTTCAGTTTTGTAAATACATTGCACTAATTTAACAGTTTTTTTGTCAATTCAAGTGACAACTTAGGAGTAAACAAAACACACAGCAAACATGAGCAACTTGACGGCGGTTTTCCAAATGATAAGGCAGCGATTGATAGCTCCAACGATAGGAAACTCCACGCGTTGTTATGCCGTCAAACCGGCGGCGCCCGGTAAGACTCCACATAAAGATCGCAATAGTTAATTAAATACATATGTAACTAATAGTAACTATATTCCAAAGCGGGCAAGAAGAAAAAGCTGGGCAAGCTGGGACCCATTATGGAAAAGAAAATCATTCCCGTGGAGACGGATGCCAATAAATTGGTCAACTATGTGTGCGGTAGCAACTACATGAAAACAGGCGAGGATGTAAAGGTAAGCAGTCTGTCCATAATTGCTAGGATATATGCTTAAATATCACCCCTCGATACAGATCAAACCGGATTCTGAGTATCCCGACTGGCTGTGGTCCCTGAACACCCAAGGCATCATCCCGCTGGACGAGCTGGATCCCAATTCCAAGCAGTACTGGCGCCGCCTGAGGAAAATGGCTCTGCGGCGCAACAACCAACTGTCCAAGCTCAAGAAGTTCTAGGTGTTATTATTGATCGTTTATCGTTTACTTTGGAGACTCGACCACGACCCTCAAGGCGACCCATGTTGTTTGCCATGCTCTCCTGAGCAACAAGTGTGTAAACACTATGTTTTCCCTTTAAAAAACAAACCGCAAATACATTTTTCCTTATCAATAATCGTGGTGATGCTATAAAAGTCGTGCAGTTGCGGGTTACATGAAATCAGTGATTAAGAAATGTGGCACGGATATTGTCTGGTTTTGCTCCTCCTCGGGGCAAACTCAATCGCACAGCAGAAATCTACAAGTAAGTAGGAGTTATCCCTTTACCCCGGATTATCAGAGTAATCCTCTTGCAGAGCATGTTGTCTGCTACCAGGGAACTTGGTCTGTTTATCGACCTGGTCTGGGCAAGTTCGGCGTGGAGAACATCGATCCGTTCCTGTGCACCCACTTGATCTACGCCTTCCTGGGCATCGAGGAGACGGGTCAGCTGCGGGTGATTGACGCCTACTTGGATCTCGAGGATAACTCTGGTCGCGGCAATATCAAAAGCTTCAATGCCCTCAAGCTAAAGAATCCCGTGCTCAAGACTTTGGTGGCGGTGGGTGGTTGGAACGAGGGTTCCAAACGGTTCTCTATAGTGGCCGGAGATCCCGTGAAGCGAGCCAAGTTCGTGGACGATGTGGTCAGGTTCTTGCAGCGCCATGGTTTCGATGGCCTAGATCTGGACTGGGAGTATCCCGACCAGCGTCACAGTCTGCAGAACGATGATCGCTCTAACTACATTACGTTTTTGAAGGAGCTGAAAGAGGGGTAAGCTAAGGAGATGATCGAGCATCTTTGACCACTAAAATGTAACCCATTCCTAGCCTGGAACCCTTTGGCTTCATGCTCAGTGCCGCTGTGGGATCAGCCCAGTTCTCCGCTGAAATATCTTACGACATTCCGGCCATTGTTCCGTATCTGGATCTGATCAACGTGATGGCCTATGACCTGCACGGTCCTTGGGACGAAGTGGTGGGCATCAATGCTCCCCTGTACGCCGCTGCCAGTGATGCCAGCGATTCAACCGGCCGGAAACAGCAGCTTAACGTGGACGCCATAGTCAAGTACTGGCTGCTGGCAGGTGCTCCGCCAGAGAAACTGGTCCTTGGGGTGCCCTTCTACGGACGCACCTTCACTTTGACCACCGCCGAGGGCAACCAGCCAGGATCTCCGCATATTGGCAAGGGAATTGCGGGGAATTACTCCCGCGAACCAGGTGTCCTGGGCTACAACGAGCTCTGCGAGCTCATGCAGCAGGAGGAGTGGACCCAGAAGTGGGAGTCCGAACAGCAGGTGCCCTATGCCTTCAGGCAGCGCCAGTGGGTGGGCTACGAGGATGCGCGTAGCCTGTCGCTCAAGGCGCAGTATGTGATGGACCACCATCTGGCAGGCATCATGATCTGGTCCCTGGAGTCGGACGACTTCCATGGCACTTGTGGCCAACAGAGTTATCCGCTGCTGCACGAAATCAACCGCGTGCTCTTCGGCGGCAAAACTCCTTCTGGTTTGACCAACGAGTCGAACGAGGACAAGCCCAGTGAGGAGTTCTGCTGCCCGGCTGGTGCTCCTGAGGGATATGTTCGTGACCCGGAAAACTGCTCCAAGTTTTACTACTGCAGTGGCGGGAACACCCACAGTTTTGACTGTCCCAGTGGACTAAGTTTTGACCTGAACACCAATAGCTGCGATTACTCCGGCTCAGTAAAATGCTAGCCTTTGTTTCCCCAATCGAGTTATCTGTATTTATGGGATCTAGTCAACTATCTTGAGGTTCAGCGGCATGTTCTTGAAGTTGTAAACGGGCATACCCCGTCGCCAGATTACAAATTCCTTGTCACACTTGACCTCAGCGGCCGGTCGGCAGATCAACTGGACTTCGTCGAAGTACTGACCCTCGGGGCACTCGTAGTAGATCCTGTCTCCGTTGCGACACTCGTAGTAGAACCGACAGTCCCAGCCATCGCGCCAGAATCCATCCTGCGGACATAGCCCACTGACCTCAGTGGTGGGCTTTTCGGTTGTGAGGGCATTCTTGTCGCCGAGGGCCGAGAAGATTACACGAAGTAAGCCATGACGCTCTCCACAAGCTCCACGAAAGTCATCCACATCGACTGTCCAGGCCATAGCGCCGCCCAATTTGTGCTTCTGCAGCAGGTGCATCTTGGCCCAGATGCTTTGTGGGTTCTCATAGCTCACCCACTGATCTCCCCTCGTGGCGTAGGGCACCTTGGCCACCGGATCGAACTTCCTCGTCCAATTGGACTCTTGCACGCACCATTCGTTGTAGGTCATAAAGCCAGCCCGGCGGGACAACTTGGTCTTTTTGCCGGGCCCTTTGCAGGGGGATCCCACCGCTGCCCGGTTGTTATCCATGGTGTAGGAACGCACAAACAGTGGGATGCCCAAGATGAGTTTCTCCGGCGCCTTTCCGTGCCCTATCCAATGTTCTATGGCATCGGTTATGCTATATTCATTCCCACGGAGCGGAGCATTGTAGGCCAGACGCAGGCGGTACGGATCCCGTTCATCGTGCAGCATCAGATGGACAAAGTCGGAGTTCTTCACTATCTGCGGGATGTTGTAACTCTCCAGGGTCCCTTTGTCCGTTCGCCCAAGCACAGCCACCATTAGTATAAACTTGTGCTCCCGAAAGCTATCGGATGGGGAAATCCTTTATAGATGATATATAGTCCCACCAGCTCTCCACTTACATTAATCCCAGCTCCTCCAGCAAGAGCACAAAGTTCTTGTGATCATCCGACTGACCGCCGCGCTGCGTGGGATAGCGCCAATCTATCTGGACGCCATCGAATCCCCACTGGTTCATGAACGCTATCATCGAGGTGCAGAAGTTGTTCCGACTAGAAGACGAGGCCACCATCCTGGAGAAACCCCTGGACTCCTCCTGCCATCCACCGGCGGTGAACAACACCTTCCTTATGCTATCAGTCTTCATATTTTTAACGCTGTTCAACATGTCTGGAAAGTTTGGGAAGATTATATTGTTCTAATTATTCCTGTTAGTTAAATGCTAGCGAAAAAACGTCTTATACTGATTGTTATTTAAATCAATAAATTCATTTTATCAATTATTAGTGGATACCAAAAGAAAAGTTTAAATTATTTTTGCTTTAAAAACTACAAAAATGTAAACAAATTAATGGGAAAATTCAATTTACCTTTCTCCAAGAGCAGATGTTTGTCAGTGATCTTCAATTCGCCGGTATCTTCATCAACACCCATGCCAGAACCAATGACCAGGTGAGTGCAAAGCCTGGAGTCCAAGTTCCAGTCAAAGAACTGACTACGTTCTTTGAAATAGTAGGAGGCCAAATCATATTGACAGAAGATGTTGTCTGCAGGAATAATCGGTTAGTTTTCCAAAGCAATGCAACAATTTCTACTTACACTCCTTTGCCGAACATCCGCAGATCAGAACTATCATTATCATTAAAATACACTTAAAAGAAGCCATGGCAAACACTAATCGTACGAACTTGAAATTTGAGTAATATTTGGCTTATTACTTCTATAAGTTTTGGTTTAATTTTATTTCCAGAACAGTTAAAGTGTTTCAAGTTCCGTGTTGTTTCTGAATGAGTTTAAAAAAAATTCACCCCAAAAAAGCACCGATAACTCGACGCATATTTATTTTACAAAAATTAATTTTTCAGCTGCCTTGTTTCGTGTTTTCATTTTAAGATTTAACATTGCAGGTAATTTTATAACTTTTTTTTAATTAAGATTTTTCGTTATATTCAAGTTTCACCTATATTTTAAGAAAAAAAACTAATGTGGTCATGGTCTACAAGGCGAGCAACTAAACATTTCTTAACATTACCTCATTTATGTGTACAAATATGCTTTCTGGTAGACAAGTCCATGAGTTGTTATTCTTTATATCATTATTTCAATATTGAAATTGAATCATATGCAGTTGCCTCATGGCCTATCTTAGACCTTTCCGTTCAGTACGCTTTCAGTGACTAAGAGTTTTCATTGTAAATATTATTATGAAAACGTTAAATCTAATCTGGATTTGGCTAGTCATAAATTTCGATTTATACGACTCCCTGTGAGGGGCCTCTTGAAAAAATATATTTCACAGATTAATGCAATTTTTGCGTATTATCATTTTCTGTTTATTTAATAGGGGCAATTGACCTCCCACTCCCAGTTGCAGTTTTTGGTGGTGAGATCAAAGTACAGTCCCTCCCCGCATTGGAAGTCGTAACGGATGCCATCGACGCACTGATAGAACGACCTGCAGCTGCCACTGAACCAGAAGTAACCATTTTCGGAGCAGTCTCCACTTCCGCCACCTCCGCCGCCACCACTTCCTCCTCCGGGAGTGGGTGCAGGAGTGGGAGCCGGGGTTACACTTCCACCGCCTCCGCTTCCGCCACCACCTCCTCCTCCGCTAACATCCTTGCCCATAGCTCGGTTCATGGTTTTCAGCAGAGGATAGGACTCGCCACAGAGGCCACGGAAATCATCCGTCTCGATGGACCACATCATGGCGCCACCCAGGTTGCGCGACTCCACCAGCTGCATCTTCATCTGGATGCTTTCGGGGTTGTCATAGCCGATCCACTGGTCGCCCTGGAAGGCATACGGAGCACCGTTCTGTTGATCGAAAACGGTCTGCCAGTTGTTCAGACAGATCTCGTGGTAGCCCAGGAAGCCATTCTCGCGGGTGTAGATGCCAGCAGATCCGGGGCCAATGCAGGATGCTCCGGGCCAGTTCTGTGAGCTGTCGGACATCTGGTAGCTGTGGCCATAGAAGCCAATGCCCAAGAGCAGTTTCTCAGCGGGGGCACCTAAACGTAAAACCCATTGGCTTAGTGCTGATACGACAGGTTACCAGGTTAAGATTGCCAAACTCACCGTGCGATAGCCAATAGTCAATGGATTCGGTAACCTCGGGCAACGGAGCATTCAGACCCAGATAACCATCCAGAGCCATGTGGAAGTCGTAGGTCATCACATTGATGAAGGTCAGGTGCTGGGAAATGGCCGGAATGTCGTAGGAGATGCTGGCCGACTTCTCGGAGGCACCCACAGCAATACCCAGTTCCAGTCCATACTTATCGTAGCTGTAGATGATTAATATCCGTTAGCCTCCATTATCCTTTCCCAAAAAGTCCCCCACTGTAGCCACTCACGTTTCCTTAATCTCACGCAGCAGGGTCACGAAGTTCTCGCGATCCGACGCAGCGCCTCCTCGCTGTCCAGGATACTCCCAGTCCAGATCCAAACCATCGAAGCCATGCTGCTGGATGAAGGCCAGGGAGCTGGCCACAAAGGTGGCTCGCTTGCCCGGATCGGCGGCCATGGCCGAGTACTTCTCGGAGCCCTCGTTCCAGCCGCCCACCACCGCCAAAATCTTTAGTTTCGGATTGCGTTGCTTCAGTGCAATCGTCTGGCTAATGAAGCCTAAATAGGGAGAAGCATAATTGTCATAATTTAAGATTAAAGCTAACTGAAACTCTGAATTAGTAGCTTACCCAGTCCATCGTCCATGTCCAGCCAGGTGTCCAGGGACTTGAACTCGCCGGCATCGCTGATTCCGAAGAAGGTGTAGCTGATGTGGGTGCACAGCGAGGGATCGATGTCCGAGGGGGTGAACTTTCCATCGCCGGGACGGTAGTTGGCCCAGGTGCCCCAATAACAGTTGATCAACTCTGCGGGAAGTATCAATTGAGACACCTATTCCTGGACAATCTGCATCGGCTACTTACTTTCACTGCTGGCCACTTGGCCGAGGCAAAGGCAAAGAGCGGCCAAAGCCCAAATCGGGAATAACTTCATGATGCCTTTAGTCGGTTAATGATCGCAATAGCTTCGTGTACTATGGGACGGCGTTTATATAGGCCACTCCCCGACCATTTCTTATCGGTACACACTGGCAATGTTGATAAATCGCCACTTCATTGTTGAAATAGAAAACAAAAGTCTAATATATTGCATTGGTTGAGGAATCCGAAACTACACAATGACCTATACCTTAACACATACCACTCATGTTTTATATTGTGCATATAAATTTCAATTTATTACCAGAATTTTAAGTGCATCCTAAGATTTGGATGATGGTATTCGTATCGTACCCCACTCGAACACCCACTTTGTCATCTTCCTGGATGGTGATTTAAAATCTGTTGCCAGCTACTTTTAGAAACCTCTTCAATAATGAAGCGTAGATAAAGTAAATACACATTCTTCTGGAACATGAATAAGAATGGCGACATTTATTGTACTATGATTTATTTATTAAGCAGGAAGAACGGTTATTGTGCAAAAGAAAACAACTAACCGGATATCGGTGCAATGATTATATACAAAGCTGTGTGAATTTAGTTGAGGAATAATTTTAAGTTTACTCAGATTTAGTTAACTACTTCAAAATTTAAAAAAATCCTACCTCGCTGTTTTTGAGTGTGAGGTCTGAAGACTATAGTGTTACCTTTATCAGAATTTTATAAATGAGTCTGCACTTTTTATTGTTTACTGCAAGGAGCAACCAGAGAAAAATGTTTATACCATAAAAAACATGAAAGAGCTCTAGGTCGAATTCCCCGACTATTATATATTCTTTACTCAGGTAACGAAATTTCAAACTAAATATACGCCAAACAGAACATCTACATCAGCGATCGCCAAGGCCACATTTAGCATAGGATAGTATTTTGCCGGCAGACAGCGTCCGAGCAGCGGCAGAGCACTTAATAACCCAATAACTTCTTAAATAATAGCTCGATTCTAAAATTCGGGTAAAACAAGAAACACTAGATACTGCGTATTTTTCTGCAAGTCATTCAATCGACTTATTCCTATCAGGAGTTTCAAGGCGGCTGGTATCATTTTTTGAAAGTCAATTCTTTGCTTTATTTAATCTCTCAAAACTGAAAAGGATTCTGGGCATCGAGATTTGAATTTTCTACTTCCTATTCGAGTTAATATACCTAAACTGTTAGAACCAAAATGAACGGTCTCAATTAAAGATTTTGATATGAGAAATTCTGGGAAATATCTTTCAACTTTTACGTTGGCAATAAACTGAAAAAAAGAGTTAACTTAGCGGATAAGTATTATAAAAAGTATTGCCGTTGGGACTAGCTAGTCTATAAAAGCATAAAACCAAAAACCTTTAAAAATTTGGACTTTTGGCTTGAAATGATTTAACCAAAAACCAATTAATTCAAATTTAAAATTTTGTAATTTTTAAACATTTATTCTTGTTTATTCGGAATCCGCCTTTACCAACGCAGCTTCCTGTTGATGGTCTTGAGCAGAGGATAGGTCTCGCCGCAGTTGCCGCGGTAGTCGTCGGTCTCCAACGACCAGATCATGGCTCCGCCCAGATTGTTGCGCAGGGCGAAGTCCATCTTGTACTGCACGCTGAGCACGTTGTCGAAGCTCACCCACTGGTCGCCGGAGTAGGCGTACGGAGCGGCATTGTTGTAGTCGAAGACGGTGTGCCAGTTGTTCTGGCAGATCTCGTTGTAGCCCAGATATCCGGTGGAGCCGGTGTAGGAGCCAGCGGCACCCTCGCCGCGGCACGGTGCTCCTGGCCAGTTCTGGGAGGAGTCGGACAGCTGGAAGGAGCGTCCGTACATGCCGACGCCGAGGATCAGCTTGTGGGCCGGCGCACCCTGGCTCATCCAGAAGTAGATGGCGTTCTCCACGGCCCACTGGGGGGCATTGAAACCGGTCTGGCCATCGGAGGCCATGGCGAAGTCGTAGGTCATCACGTTGATGAAGTCGACGTGCTGGGCAATGTTGGCGATCTCGTAGGAGCCACTGGCAAGCGACTCACCGGCACCCACAGCAATGCCCAACTCATAGCCATAGGGAGCGAAGCTATGGAACAAACCCAATCATTTCGGAGGCCTCCAAGAGTGGAACTAGTACTCACGCTTCCTTAATCTCGCGCAGCAGGGTCACAAAGTTGGAGCGATCGTTCCAGTTGCCGCCACGCTGGTTGGGATACTCCCAGTCCAAGTCCAGGCCATCGAATCCATTGTTGCGCAGCAGGTTCAGGGCCGAGTTGATGAAGTTCTGGCGCTTGTACCAGTCGCCTGCCATCGAGGAGTACTTGGTGGAGCCCTCGTTCCAGCCGCCCACGACGGCCAGGACCTTCAGGTTGGAGTTCTGATGCTTCAGACCCACGGCCTGGCTGATGAAGCCCAGATCGTAGTCCAGCCAGGTGTCCAGCGACACAATCTCGCCGCTGTCGTTGATGCCGAAGAAGGAGTAGCTCAAATGGGTGCATAGGCCGGCATCGATGTTGGACACATCGAACTTGCCACTGCCGCTGCGGTAGTTGGCCCAGGTGCCCCAGTAACAGTTGACGATGCCTGCATTAGCACAACGTTATACGGACTTAGGATCACCTAACCCCCCAATAGACTAATACTTACGTTCAGCACCGATCACCTGGCCCAGGCAGAGGACTGCTAGTAGTGCAAATAACTTTGCCATTGCAAGGAATGCTTGCAGAGTTCGGTTTCTTCAAGGTATTTATACCATTCTCCGCTTACCTTATCAATGACCTTATCAGTCGCAGCAACTGCTCCACTCCACATGTCTGGCAAATTTATTAACGCTTCGTCGCGTGCTTCTTGCTTTGAATTTTTGATATTTATACCTGGTGCTCGTATCTGTATCTCAAGCTTAGATTCGTTTTGGTTTAATATCCCTTGAGTTGTAAATTCTCTCAAGAGGTACTTCAGTATTTAAAACTCACTTTATTTTTTTTTTTACTCTTTTTACTCGGTATTTGCGGAGTGTAAGGGTACATTCAATTCGTTGGAAACAAAAGTCAGCTACTGTATTGCTTACAGGCATTTTACCCTATTATAAGGTAAATCCCAAAAAATTTGATATCCCTTTCTTTATTATTTTATAATAACCATAATAAAAATAAAAAAATGCCAAAGCTTTTTATTTTTAAATTTTTAATTTTAATTTTTAAACGCTGTTTTTTTAATTTCGCTTCTGCTCAAGTTAGGAAAGCAAGTCAAAGACGACCTATAAGACTTTTTTATTTTAAGAAGAGTAATAAAATTGGTGAATTATTCTTAGAGAAATTTTGTAAGTAATAAGTATCTTCGTGTAGGGACAATCAACATCATTTTGTTACTGGTCGTTCGAAGGTTGCCTAAAACACTTTCTGTCTAACCGTATTCTAACTCTATGCTATTTGAAACCCAGGTGTTTAAATGGACAAGATGATAATTCTTGCTGGTCACTAAGCCGTAATCTTCTCCTTTTATCATAAAATCACACGACTTCTTTTTATCTTTCCACAATAGTAAAATCAAACTGGAACAATAGTACGAATCGAGAATTGACCAAAAATATTATGTTTAAATTTTGTTTTTGATTTAGTCAATTTTACCTTAAATAAACAAATAAATGCTTTCTTTAATAATACTGTTAACTAAACAGCTATTGTTATTGTACTGAGTAATAAAAAATGTCACAGAAGAATTTTTTGTTTGCTTGTAAATTCTTTGTGACCTGCTTAGAATCTTTTAAAAGTGTTAAAAGTGCTTTTTTTGCCTATTTTTAGATTTTATGGGAGGCTTATATGTTCATTGAAACGTGATTAGCGAAAAAGATTTTCATTGAGTAGAAGTAAATTATATTAAATGAACTTGAATCTTATCATTCCAATTTGCTTCAGATTAATTTCATAAAATTCGGATTAGATGTTGATAACTCCCATAAGTATGAATAACTTCTGGCCGTGTAGAGCTCCAGTGTCTCCAGATAAACTGCCCCTCACTATCCCGCTTCAACTCATCACCCAAGAATCCGCTCCGTCCAGCTATAGCTTAGATAGCTTTAGCTTTGGGTTTTCTTTTGTGATCCAGTAATAACCGATTACATCATACATAACTCCGTAAAAAAAAATTTTGGAATACTAAAACATTTGAAATTTATACTGATTCAGCCCCACTTAGTTTTGTGTTACCCAGTATATTCAAACTAAAAAGATATACTGATATACAGTATATAAAAACTAAATAAAGAAATAAATAAATAACTTTGATATTGCATATACCAATTTAAATGTGATATGTTATTTTCTTAAACATATTTATTGTTTATTAATCAATTTGGGTGAACAAAATAATAACCTTTTCGGCATCGAATAGAGATTCTTCAACAATATTGAGTAGAAATGCAAATGCAAATATAAATAAAATTTTGCGCCCAGTTTAACTGTAAAACGCTCAGGCTAACAATTGTGTTTTAGTGCGTTGGACATCATGGATTTGACCCAGGACTTAGTTGGCCACGTAGATCTCGAACTCCTTGTAGGCCAGCTCCTCGCCGCCGTACGGGATGTAGCAGCATCCGTGCGAGGGCTGCACCTTGCCCACGGTGATGGTACCGTCGTGGGTGGCGCGTCCGATGAAGAGCGGCTCGCCCTCAGCGGTCTCGCCGGCGGGCAGAGCGTTGGCCGGAATGTTTCCGGCATCCATGGGCACCCACTGTCCTCCGGCGGCGCAGAGCACCTCGTACTCGCCGTGTCCGTGCTCCCCGCCTCCGTAGGCCACGTAGGTAACGCCGTGCGATGGGTGCAGCTTGCCGGGAATCAGGTCACCCTCGTGACGGGCACGGGCGATGTACAGCTGCTCGCTGCTATCGAATCCTCCCTCCAGGGCGTTAGGCGGAACCTCTCCGTTGGCGGCAGCCACCCAACATCCTGGTCCGCTTCCGGTGGGCGCGGCGAAGCCCATTACGGGCGCCGAGGGAGTAGGCTCTGCGGAGAAAGGATTGGAATAGAATTAGAATTTCATACAAACCATAAGATAGAATACTCTTAAAAAATGTGAATTCTTTAATCGGTATCTTTACCCATATTATAAACTACTCTTCCCTAAAGAGATTATGTGATTATTCAAGGCAGATCATTATTTCAAGGCTTATCTTAAATGCCAGATAAAATAAACAAATGTCTTAAAACCTTTCCAAAGCTTACTTTGCATTTTATATGAAGATCCTACCTTCAAATATAAATAATAAATAATAATAATTTCATTAAGCGTAGTTGTTCTTGGTAGGAAGACAATGTTTACATTGTACAACTAAACGACAACACATTATCCAAACAGAACGAAAGGTAAACTAATCAGAGGGAAAAAAAAAACACTTGTGCTATTGTTTTGCCTCTAAATGGGTGTAACTGGGCGTAAACTCACCATCCAGCTGCCAGGACCCGCTGGCACCCCATCCCGTGCAGATGCCGACGAAGTTGACTGGGAACAGACTGCCGGCGTCGTAGGAAAGAAAGGCGGCGGCATCGCCTTCGCGGCCCACGGTGATGACATTGTCATACCAGCGCACCCAGAAGCCACGGAACTCTCCGGCGTCCAGGATACCCGGTGTGGGCACCTCGGCCACCTCGGGCTTTTGGCGGTCCTTGCGGATCACCGACTTGGTGTTTTCCCAACCTCCCAGGAAGATCTCGTAGATCGGACCGTTCTCCTCGGGAGCGGGTGTGAGTGCCAAGTGGGCATCTTTGGGAGAACGCACCTTGAAGGTGAACACTCCACCGCTGGCCGGGAAGAATTGGTATTCCAACTTATCGGGGGTGTTGATTTCTGCAAACAAGACGGCGAAAAGAAGATTAGTGCTACATTTAAGAGGAAACTGTACCCAGCCTCCCCCGTTTTCAGAGGCAACTGTACCCAAAATATGTGCGAGATGGGAATATTTTGAGGTTTGTTTTATCAACCTCAAACATCTCCCGCAAATCACGGGAAAAGTGTTGTCATAAAAAATACTTGAGCTGGAAAGAATTCGTTGCTATTTATATGTTTGGGCCGTTGCAGATACATATCTGAATGTTTAGCGTTTGTTTTTGTTTTCGCTACTTCATTAGCGCCATTCGCATGATGTCATTTAGATCGCCATCGGTTCTTTGCTATAAAAACATTCTAGCTAATTCCACTCAAGCTCAATTCCGAGTTCTGAGCCGGCTTTACGGGGTCTCGAGCGACAAACATTTGCCTAGATATATGTATAGTTGTATAGTTGTGCTTTTTGTTTTCGCCAGATAGCACGAATTGTTTCCCAAGCAACATTTTTTCGCATGACATCATTATAGGTGCATCTCTCGTCTGACCCTCGGTTCACCATCGCGGTATTCTTATTGATTATTACCAGAGTTCAAGGCGTATAATAGTGACTCATCACAGCTGATACAAATTTTTGGGCATCTTGGTGTATGACCGCATCGAAAATCAATTTAGTAGGTCATAAATAATACTAAAAAGGCGGCAGCGAAGTCCAAAAGTTGTTGTACTGTCTGCGTATTCCCGTTAATTGAATTTAGATGATCACAAGGTGAAAGTTCTGTTAAAAACGCCATGCATATATTTTATCTGGTAGAAACTCAACACAGATAAAGAATTTCTATAATTTATTTACTTCTGATGTTTCGATTCTAGGAATATGTTGACACAATTCAATTTTGGTCGAGGGCCAAAAGTTTCGTTCTTTGGTCCGCGTCTCTTCCTACGTTTGAATTCACCCAATTATCCATTCCATTATCCAACTGGTCTAGGCACTCCACCCACTTGGGAACTCACCAATTGGCATGGTTGCTGCTTCCACTTAACGTTGTTCGGTTACTGAGATTCTGATTCAAACTGCCGCAATGGAGCCCAAATACCGGCGAGGTAAGCCCTGCTAAAAAAAAGAGGCACTGCGAGAATAAAAGCTCGACAAGCTTTTGGCCTCTCTTTCAATTTGTGTGAGATCGATGTCTATCTAGAAAGTAGTCGATTGACTGTACTAGCTTGAAATGGTGACCTATTACCAAAGAGTCCTAGCGTTCATTGCTACACCTTATTACAAGAGCTTTACTTTAATTGAAATATGTAAACACCATATTAACCCAGAATCTTTCAAAAACTCATGAAAATTTTGAATTAATAATATCAGATCTAAAAACAAATAAAAATGCATATCTTAAAGTTAAAATAAGATTTTCCTTACAATGTTTGTTATATTTTAAAGTCCAAACCATTTTGAATAGAGTATGCAATCTGTGGATTAGGCTTCGTACCTAGTTTTGCCTAGCACGTCAATGACTCACGTTGACTCAAAAGCTACTGCTGATGTCATCAAGACCAGCAGGAAGCTTTTTCAATGCTGAAATGCTCTAGCAAAGGGATTGATAATTTTTTCTCTCCGCTTGCCAATGATTTACATATTTATGTTAAATTCAACAATTATAACACTAGCCCTAAATAAGTCAGATACGCAATAAATGGGTTTTGGACCGAAAATACTTTTGAAATATATTAAAATATAAAAACATTGGAAATTTACAATATTTATAATATTTATTTAGGCAAGCACGAGCAACTAAGAGACTGGGATTGCTAGGAGCTGCAATTCAACGAGAACATTGGTAATATTAATTTTACGATTTCCTGGTTGATAGGGTACTTCTACTTCGATGATCCTGTTT